CCATTGCTTTTCAGAGATATTGGAAGGGAGGGAGGGAGGGGGAGAGATAGAGAGAGAGAAACATTGATGGGAGGGAGCCACATCAGTTGGTTGCCTCCCGCATGCGGGGCCAGGATCAAGCCTGAAACGAGGTACGTGCCCTTGACCAGAATTGAACTTGGGACCCTTCAGTCTGCGAGCTGATGCTCTAACCACTGATCCAAACCAGCTGGGGCAATGATTTTCTCTTTTTCATTGATTTTTAGAGAGAGGAAGGGAGGGAGAGAGAGAGAGAGAAGTATCAATCGGCTGCTTCCTGCAGGAAGGGTTTGGCTCTCGATCTTGGCAGCACATTGGAATCAGAGTTTTTAATTTTAGGGTTTCCTAGCATCACTTTTAACTGGTCCTGGGTGTTGCCTGGATTGCAGATGATTGATTTGCAGCCTAGGTTGAGAACCACTGATCTAGAGGATGACAGTATCGCCAGGGGATGATGGGCGACAGGTGGAAGCTTACACTTGGGCAGTGACTGTGGCCAGTGGCTTTGAGGTGTGACAGAACTCATTCTGATAGTCCCTTAGAATGAGACAGAAAACATCTAAATTGTTGCAGAGGACAGTTAACACATTTTTTTCCACTTTGGAAGCATGTTAGGAGATGAACATGTGTCATGGTCTGTCTTCCCATTCACAGAGTTTTATAGCCCTTTCCTGCCAACCTCCATCAAACAAAACCAAGTTTCCTAAGCTTGGTGCTTTACTGTGGACCAGGTGGTTAGATGCTTCAAAACTTGACGAGTGTTAGCTGTTTAAAATACTAAATGTGTAACAGTTAACTCAAGACTATAAAAATCTCAGTAACTGGATGGTATAATTGAATGCCACATAAGATTTTGTTGTCCCCAAAGTGGATTGCTAATTAGAAATAATGCTGAGCATTTTTTACTTGTTACCGAATTTATAATAATAAAGGTGAATGCAGGATTTACAACTCCATAAGATCTAGAATAACTGGAGTCACGAAAAGGCAAATATATTACAAAGATATACTACATAGTATAACACACTGTCTAGAGTTGGTCGTGGACTAGCCGGGGAGCAAGATACCAAAACAACTGAACTGACTTGAAGGTCTCCGGAAAGGAAAGCGTGTCCTGTCCAGGAATGCAGGGCCCCTTTTACCAAGGTGATGGTGTTTGATCAAAGCCCAGCTGAAAGGGAGCAGCCAGGGTGATCCAGAAGCGGGCTTAGTGGCAGAGCAGAATCTGGAGAAAGGCAAGGAGTCCAACAGCTGGAATCGAGCTGAGCAGCAGATGAAGCAACAAGGAAAGGCTGGGACCTTGAAGGCCTTTGAGAGAATTTGGCCTCTGGATCCCTGCTTTGCAATGTTTTCTGTCATGGTACACAAAAAAAATGCTTGAGCAGCCCGCTGGGTGAATGTGGAAAAGATTTGGGCACCAATTATGTGGCTAAAGAGAGAGGAAGGGAGAGGGAAAGAGAAACATCGATCTGAGAGGAGCATCGATCAGCTGCCTCCTGCATGCCCCCTACCAGAGACAAAGCCTGCAGCCCTGACATGTGCCCTGACTGGGATCGAACCAGGAACCTTTTGGTGCACAGGGCGACATCACACTGGCCAGGGTGAAATACTTTGTTTTTTTTAAATCATTTTAATACAAAAACCAAATAGAAACCATTAGGGAGGATATTATAGAATTTGTATAAAATTCCCACAATCCCAATTTTTTGTTAATCATCACTCAAGGATATTTTTTCTATTGATTATCAGAGAGAGTAGAAGGGAGTGGGGGAGAGGGAGAGAGAAACATCGATGTGAGAGGCCTCCCACAGGCGCCCCAACCAGGGCCAGGAATCAAACCTGCAACCCAGGCACGAGCCCTTGACCGGGAATCAAACCCAAGACCCTTCAGTGCCCAGGCCGACATTCTAACCACTGAGCAACACCAGCTAGGACACATCCTAATTTTTTAAAGTGAAACTTTAAGCTTGTTTCTTTGAACATAACTTTTTTTAAAAGTTTAATTGTGAAATACAGGAGAATGTATAAGACACGGGTGCAAGTAAATATGTGTGATAATAAATCTTATTCTGTGATCTTGCCCTCATCTTCATGCTTGTGAATGTCATCCATGTTACTATGCACAGTTGTGGTCCATTTGTTTTCCTGGCTGTATAGTATTCCGTTATATGGCTACTCCATGCTTTGTTCATTCCGCTGTTACGGAACTAGGGTTAGTCTCAGTTTTTATTCACAAACACCGTTGCCTCAGTTTTGAGCTTGTCTGCTCAGCGATCTGTAACGGGTACAGCTGTGACACATTTCGGTTGCTGCTAAGGAGGGAAATTACAATGCAGGGGGGAATCGCGTGGCGAAGCAATAGGTAAGAGAAAAAACAGGCCAACTCTTCTCAGCCTGGAGGCAGTTGATTCTTGAATAACCAAGCATCCTTTCTTGTCATCTAGAGACTCCTCACCTCTCTCTCTTCCAAGTCTCAGTTCCCATGTGCTACTCACTAATTAGTGCAGTGTTTGCAACAGTGGCACCTAGCAACCCAGGAACACTTTGCAGTAGAGCAGAATCCATCTCACTCTTGAATTTGCATATAAATATACAGGCCTAGATGTAACTCGTGAAATGTGATACTAAGTTATAATTCTCAACATTGGCAAGGAGATGAAAATGGAATACTAGAAATGAGTAGTTTTTTTAATAAAAATGTTTAATAGGTTTAATTTTCACAAATTAAAATTTTTGGCTTTATTGAATAATCTTTGTTTTTGTCCCTTAATTTTCAAAGCAATTTTGAATATTTAAAGAGAAAAATTTTGAAAACAAGACCATTCTGATTTTTTATTTTCTAACAATTTACATTTTTAGATTAAAATATATTCAAATTTTGAACATTTGGAAACAACTACACATCATTTTTTAATCCTTTGGATCACTGAAATGAACACAAGATCATCACAGAAATAGATAATAATGACAGAGAAGAAAAACTGAAAGGGACAAATGGAAAAATTCCATATAAGAAGGCTGCTTAAGTTTTATAAAACTAGAAACAATGAAAATTAAGACCATAGTGAGCATCTTCCTTATAAAATTCAGAAATAAGGCATCATATATATTATTAATGAAGGTTTAATTATGAAAATGAATAAGAATTATTCCTATCGAATGAACACCTTGAACTTCAAGTCTGATTACATGCTTGCATCATCCTACTTCTTGCTGAGTGATTCCCTAGCTGTTAATGAAAACACTGAGATGGGAAAGAGCATTATTCATTCATGTCAAATACATAATTCAGAGGTGACAAATGTAGCTCTGGGCTGCGCCTCGCCAGATAAAATTAGATCCGTGAAACCCGCAAATGAATCAAAAAGGATGTAACCTTTGGAGCCTTACTGTGTTTGTTGGATAATGACCCTGAAAAGAGACTCTAACCCTTTTGATAGCATGAGATTCTTTCCAGCAAAACACAAATGTGCCCGGCCGGTGTGGCTCAGTGGTTGAGCATCGCCCTAGGATCCGGGAGATCGCGGTTCGATTCNTAGCATGAGATTCTTTCCAACAAAACACAAATGTGCCCGGCCGGTGTGGCTCAGTGGTTGAGCATCGCCCTAGGATCCGGGAGATCGCGGTTCGATTCTGGGTCAGGGCCCATGGGGGTTGCGGGCTCCATCCCCAGTAGGGGGCGTGCAGGGGGCAGCCGATCAATGACTCCCTCACGGTTGATGTTTCTCTCTCTCTCTCTCCCTTCCTCTCTCTGAAATCAATAAAAATATATATTTTTTAAACAAAAAACACAAATGTGCTTCAAATTAATGGTGTGGGTGATAAAGGGGGACTGTGTGGTAAACCTGACAAGTTGTGGGCGGGGGCGGGCGTAACGCAGCCCTGACAAGCTCAGTGACCGAGGGTAACCACACAGGACCGTCTGATCGCAAATTCCTAGCTGGGCAGGCCGCGTGGGGAGTCATGTCCCCGGCCTGTAGCTCCCTTAGCAAAGGTCGGTCTTTACCTTAGGTGAGGCCTGTCCACCGTTCTCATGCATCTAGGATAACATACCTTTGAAATGTCAGCAATTCTCTTGCCTAAGCCCATCGAAGGCGCAACCGCAGGCATCAGATCACAAGACCGCAGACCCTCGCTGTTACCTTGTTTCCCACACACCACCTCTGTCAGTAAATGGTCCTTAACTATCCTGTGCCCTCCAACGTGAAAGCAGTATGTGTTTCTCCTTTTGTTTTTTATTCATTCGCAGAGATTTCCCTGCTTTGCTTTCTTCTGCCTCCTTAATCTACCGCGAACGGATTTCGTGTAACCCTCCTTACATCTCCTTTGATTCTGATGCGTAAAATAAGCTGCAAAACTGCCATTGTCCAGAGCATTTCCTCAATCCGTTGAGCTCGTGCTTCCGGGCATGTCCTCAAAATTTGGCC